ATTCTTTGAGTCCCAGCAGCTTATTTGTACTGTTGTCCTCTGCATGTATTCTTTGACCTTCTGACATACAGTTACTGCAGTCTGTTGCATGCATCCCCAAGCAGAAAGCAGATTGGATAGAGATTAGATAACATCGTGGTGTATGGGCTGGGTACTTCTTTTTTTTTCTTACCAGTTTCCTGTTGATAGAATCACACTGATAAGGAGTTTAGCTGGTAGTTGAATTATGAAACTGCAAAAGGCTGCCTTTTAAAAGACATGTTCCAACTGGGATGTAGATGTGGCCAGAAGATTAGCGTGTAGCTGGGCTCTGGTGCTTAGGCCCCTCAATCTGAGTATTACCCAGGAGTAATGAGCAGTTAAGGGGGACCATGGTAGGTGCATAACACAGGTTTAGAGCATTTTCAAGCCTGTTTATGAACATGGTTAAACACTGCAGAAACAGAGGAAGCTATCTGAGATATTACTTCACTCTGGCTATATTTTACCACTTTGTTTCTGAAAGTTATTGCTCCACAGTGCTTCACGGGAAGACGAGTTAGCAGAACCGTGTGCATTTGTCTCAGTACAAAGTCATCCAGGCTGCCTCCAACCACCACAAACAGCTTAAAATAAGGTAGCTGACTTTGCCTGAAGTGGATGCTCAGCAATGCCACACAGTTCTGCCAGCTGAGATCCAGATGCGTGAGTTTTGACAGTGTTGTGGGAAAAACAGCCTGTGGGCAGAGATGTTTCATATTGCCACAGCTCTAACTGCTATGATCATGCACAGATCCAAGGCCTCCAAGGCCCATAATGCTAACATGAGAGCTGGGTTGGAATAAACCTTGGAACAAGCCAATTGGTCACCTACACTTCAGTTTGGAGGCTTTTTTAAAACATCTGGATTACCGGGTTGAGGAGCTCTACAGGATCTGAAGGCCCCATCCTTATCTTCCACTACCTGTAGGAGAAATGAAGGACCAGCCAATGCCTCTGCCGTTAGTGGTTTGTTGGCATCACGGTGTTTTCAGTTGGAGGGATGGAGGCTGTGGTTTCACACTGAGTGGCTCCTCACTCCTCACGCTCCTGGCACAGCTCTTGGTGCAGCTGCGCACTCGACCAGAACAGCTGAAAAATTCCTTTCAGCTGACGGCTCAGGGTCCCCATACCCATGGCAAAGGTGTGCTGATTCCAGACAGGGCAGCACAAAAACCAGGACAACGAGCTGTGCCGAGAGAAGAGCTCGCTGGGAACACCGACATGAATTCACAGCCTCAGAAACACACACTGTCCTGGAGGATCTTGGCAGGGAAGCTCAGCAAAGAAAGGGTCAGTCTACACATGCAGCTCCCTCTAAGGCAGAAGGGAGTTGCAGATCTGAATTGAGGGCTGTGCAAGCAGCAGTACAATGTAAAGCAGATTTTCTTTGATTAGCCGTGGCCTCTAATCTCTCCTGTGCCCCCCTGCAGCGAATTCCAGAGTTCAACAGCCCCCACTGGACTTTCCTGTTAAGGCTCAAATCATTAAAAGTATTTGTTTAGTAAAGGCTAAAGCACTCAGGTCCCAGTGCCTGAGAGCTCTGTGAGGTTAAATGTTGTCAACCTTTTGAATTCAAGCCATGTTCCACAGGTTCGCAGTGATTCACTGGTAGAGCTATATGGAAATTTCATCTCCAGGCTTCACCCTCCACCCCAGCTCACTTCAGTAGCTTGGACTAAATGAACTAGTGTGGTCCCAGACACAATTCTGAGTACGTGGCAAAGCCTCTGCCACAGCTCACACACTCAGCAGAGATGTCACAAGCCTGTCCCAGCCTGTGCTGACTTTGGCTGGGATAGAGTTAATTTTATTTATAGTAGCTCATATGGGGCTGTGTTTTGGATTTGTGCCGCAAACAGTGTTGATAACACAGGGATGTTTTCATTACTGCTGAGCAGTGCTCACACAGAGCCAAGGCCTTTTCTGCTCCGAGGAGACTGGGGGTGCACAAGGAGTCAGGAGGGGACACAGCCAGCACAGCTGACCCCAACTGACCCAAGGGATATCCCAAATCATGTGGCATCATGCTCAGCACAGAAAGCTGGGGGGGGGGAAGAAAGAAGGGGGAACGTTCAGCATGATGGTGTTTGTCTTCCCAAGGCACCATTGCGTGAGATGGAGCCCTGCTCTCCTGGGGATGGCTCAACACCTATCTGCAGTGGGAAGTGGGGAATTAATTCTTTGCTTTGTATGCACACATGGCTTTTGCTTTACCTATTAAACTGTCTTTATCTCACCCAGGAGTTTTCTCACTTCTACCCTTCTGATTCTCTCCCCCATCTCATTGGGAGGCAGTGAGCAAATGGCTGAGTTGCTGGCTGGGGTTAAATCACAACACCTTCTCTGACACCCAAAGAAGGATCTTCAGCTTGCTGAAAGCTGGTGAGCTTACGGCAATGCAGTGTGCAGTTCTGTTGATCAAAGCAGGTAACAAAGGCAGAACCCCCCTGACCCACCAGGCCCTCCATCAGGTAGCTTCCTCAATTTAAAATTTCATGTCTGAAATCAAGGATTTACTCTCCCACAGGACCAGGTCTCTTTTCTAATCTGGACGTGTTTGGTTTTTTTTCTACATTTTCTATTGATGAACCAGCAAATGTGGTTTGAATAGTGCGAGTCTGATCCACATCAGCTCTGACTCAATACTGTTGCTCAGGGCAAAAGGCTTTCAAATATGGGAAGGATCAGTTCCCAGAGTGATCCAGGAATCAATTTGTCTATAACTTCCAAAATGATGAGTATTTCTCACAGAACACTCCTAGTTACACCCTAAAGAATATTCCTCACCTGGCCTCATTACAGTGCAATTGCTATGAATTAGGGGGCAATTTCACATTCCTGAAAAAAGGTTGGTACTTCAAATTGAAGCTGAACATGATATGGTGGAGCTGGAGAGTTTGCATACCTGCCCTGCAGGGGAAGTGGCTGCCTGACCCTCGGAGAAGACAGTAGGTGGGAACCAGCAAGTAAGTGTCCAGAGCTTGGAGCCCTTGGGGAGGGCTGGTGCCATGCAGCCTGCCTGGAGAGCCGCACAGGCAGAGCAGAGCCCAAGCCTGCCAGGCTGCCCGGGAGCCAGAGATCCTGATGATCCCAGCAGGATAGCCATTACTCTGGAAGACCCAGCTTGAAACAGTTCAGTGACGGGCTGCACACAAGAGCAGTCACCCCTAATCAGACCTCGAGAGGAGGAAAGTGGCAGGCCAGAGATTAGAAGACCTATAGAGATGGGTTTGTGGCTTTCAGCTCTGTCTGTCTCTCAGCAGGCTCCCTTGGAGGTGGGTGGTTGAGCTGGAAGGAAACCAAGCAGGATTTCAAACCTGCCTGGCAGGCAGTGAAAATCCTACCTGGTTTCTGTCAATTTTGTCTTACTCCCCCATCATCCAAGCTGAGATCAGCAGGAAATGCTGCTGCTTCCCTGTGAATATCCTCAGATTTCAAAAACTTTCCAGGTACCTACTCGGAAAAACGCAGATGATTTTAACAACTGAAAACTGAAGGGGAAAAACAAAGCAATAGGTCAATGAAAAATTCTGTTTCAAAATCATTTTCTTAATGATTATTGTTTCCAAACCAAAACATCCACGGAAACCAATTCTGCACCTCTGAGTACTTCCATTTGAAAAACCTGACATATTCAGATGAATAAGATGTCCTGTTCAATAACGAATGTACTCTTACTTTAATGTCTCTCTGAAGCACTTAGCTATTATGGAGCATGCCAAAAGTTGCACAAACCGGGAGCTTAGCTCTTAAGCCTCTTAGTACCAGTGTGTATGTACAATGTCTCTGATATTCCCAAATAAACAACCTTGAAAGGCCAGGCCTCACAGAACTATCAGAACCCTGCAGAACACGGCACTGGCACTTAGACTTACTTGCCTGTAACACGCAATTCCTTACTAAGAATTTCACACTGGCCATTACCTTGAAAACCAGCTAAGAATCATCCACTGAAGGTCTCCCTCACCCCAGTGGAGTAGGAAGGATTTATTAGCCATGACCAGTTTCTTCTGTCACTTTGCCAGGTACCCAAAGAGAGGCTGCTCAATTCAAAATCCACACTGCCACAGGTTAATTTCATCTCCAGCAAACCAAATCCTCCTGCCCTGCTCACTTACACCCCAGATAAGGCAGGAGAGTGCCTACTATGAAACATGTCTCCCTGAAGTTTAGAGTCATTTGGCACTCCGGAAAAATCAGGTCAGAAACAGAAATCTGGATTAGATTGAAACCCGAATCCAGGTGGGTACATTTAGACAGGCAGTGTGGTGTGATAGGAAGGTGGCCTCACAGGGAGACGTGACCAACTTCCACTTCAAGCATGTATCTAATGAGAGAAATTAGCCAGGATTATAATGCTTTTGACCAAGACCTACTTCTGCTCTTTCTCTGCAGCTCAGGGCTGTGAAGAGCTGAGTGCAAGTTACCTTTTACCTCCAAAAAGATATCCTTATGAGTTTGACCTTTACAAACGAAAACAAGAAAACAAACCACAAAGTCACTTGAACAATGCTTGGGTTTGATCCAGTCACTGCTTTCTGCTTGAAAAGGAAGAGTAATCCCTGCAAATGCACAAATTAGTCATGTGTGTAAACACGGAGGAGCAGACAAAGCACTGCCATCAAAACCACCACTGAGCCCAGGTATCCAAGAGCAGCTTGTGTTTATTACTTGAGATGCATAAACAACTAAGCAGTTAATTGTCTTCCTAAAGGACAAAACTGAGGGTGATGATGTGGTACCCAAAGAGGTGCTCTTTTCCCTGGTGTCATAATTCTTCTGGTTCCTATCTGGTAACAATTTGGTCTGAGAAACACTGGAGAAAGACAGCACCACAGAGCTGGTTGTTTCATCTGGGAGCTGAAAAAGAATGACTCTGCTGATGTGTGGACTGAACCAGACTCTTCTATTGTATGCTTCAGGGTGGGTTTTTTGCTTTAGGCACTTAGAGAAAGAAAGGAGGAATTCACTTCCAGAAGGAAATTGAAAAGAAATTTATTTCTGTCCATATGGGGAACCTAACCTTTAGCTCCCAAATTGGGCACATAAATTTGCGCAGTTTCACATGATGACCTCTCCTCTGCTGATTTTTGTACAGTATCTATTTATAGTTTCCTGGACGTGATGGGCATCTTTGTTGACCTTCTGCATAGCACAAGGGCATGTAATTTCCTCCAGTTTTCACTGTCATAAGCTCATCTTGACAACAACATAGTAGCTGCTGCATGACATTAAACAGAAACATGTTTAGAAATACACAGCTAACGTCTCAAGTGCCTTGGAAGGAAGGGGCTGTACGGCAGCAAGAAATAACCACAGTTAGTATTTAAGATGATCAAGGAAGACACAGCTTGAAGAGCCATCATGCAGTCCTGTCCAACACCCTTTGCAGTCCTTGGAAGTCGACACTGAAATGTGCTCATAGTAATCCTAACATGGGGAAGCATGAAAAGATTCTCTCAGTCAATAAGAATATGCATATAGCATTGGGAGAGGCACACTGAACCCACTATCCAGACTGGGATAACTGTCTGCACAAACAAAAAACAAGGAAACCTTCCAGAACAAGTGGAGCCCGAGGCACACAGAACACCTGGTGGTTTGGCATACCATTAGAGAGCTCAGATAAACAGTTCTAAAAGTATGCTGGGACCAGGGAGAGTATTTCCAGAATCCCATGTGGCATTTAAAATGGGATCGTGTGCCATGTGTTTGTGTCTAGGGAGATAGAAGTCCCACTTTCAGAAGGAAAGATGGGCACACTTTTCATAATGAGTACACCAGGTGGTCAACCCAACACAGGTCTGGTTTACTTAGAGTGGAAGGAGGCCTTGGCTGGAAGTCAGCTAAACAGGAGAGATGTTAATATCAGAAAACAACCATTTTAAGACAAAAAAAAAACCTCCAAAACCCCACATGAATCTGACCAAGCCAAAGTAATTTGTAGCCTACTTTATGGTGTTTTTACAATTATTACTACTGTTTAACATTTATAGTGTAGTAGTGATGACAAACAGATCTGAACACTCACTGTGCCAAGTAGCTACTGTGCAAATATGGATACAGTCAGGACATCTTTGGAGTCATGTTTACTGGCACATACATGAGCTGTAAAAAGAAAACCCAGCTCAAAATTACCTCCTGCAACTTTCTTTCAAGATGCATGTTAATGTCAATGGACTTCCCAGGACTTGTGCTGCGATCAGGTATTGGAGAGTGGCTGGAGTTGGAAGTGGTCAGCTTTGCAAAGGGGACAAAGTGCTCATCCATTAGCAAACAAACTAAATAAGGCAAAAGCTAAGGCCAGCCTTAGCCCGTCCGTGCCATCTGCCAGCTCATGGGGCTGAGCTGATTTCACCGCAGTGGAACTGTGCCAGGCTAGAACAAAGAAACCACAGAACTCATGGGCAGCGCTGCAAGGAGGCGGGGGCTGATCCAGAGGTGTTGAGTATATGCCCCCCTCCCTGGATCAGAGTCTGCGTGCTCTCAGAATGCCTGGTAGTGCAAGTGAAAGTACAGGGAATGAGTTCCAAGAAATAAGCACGCCATGAATAAAACCAGCAAGAAGCAAAGAGGGTAGAGCAGCTGCTGAATGCTGCAAGTGCAAGGGGTCCATTCATCCAAACAACACCAAATCTACGGATTTGGAAAGAGAAGGAAAAAGGAGAAGAAGGAAGACAGAGTTAAGTTCATATTCTTGCTGGCATTAAACTAGTCATTACATATTGGAGAGGGCTGAGAAGCAGCTTCCTTGCCCAGCTTAAAAACTCTTACCTCTTCCTAAGATCTCAAAATTCCATAACATTCCAGACAGGAATGTATTTCCTTTAAAATAAGATTTATCTAATGGTTCTCACGTGAGACTGATATTTTTTCTATACTTAGCAGCAAGTGATACTGAACAAATAACTGAGCTGAACTGTGCTCCAGTTTCTCTTTCCACAAAATGGGGGAATATCACCTTTTCTAAAGCACTTAGAGCTGTCTGCATTAAGTGCAAGTTAAGTGTGCAAGTAAAAACAGCTACTACTATTAAATCATTCATTAAGCTTGCCTGTATGTTGCTATTTTCTCGGTATCCCAAGCTCATACAGGAACACTGAAAAAACGTCATCTTGAACAATCAATAACCAAGTTACCCATAAAGCCTGCATTTCAGAAAAGGTCATTCAGCTTACTGCTGTTGGGGGATAGAAAGCAGAGTTTGTCAGGAAGAACATGTTGGGGGATAAATTTCTCCTCCCCTGTCCAAAGTTCAGGTTTCCCTGAATTCTGGAGTGGAGAAAGAGGCCTGTCATGAATCATATCCCTTTGGGGCTGCACAGAAGATACTCATCCAAACCCAGATGGGGAGCACAGATGAATAAAACCTCAGTATAATACGTGTTTTACTAACAGAGGGACCAGTCCAATGTCTTAGGATATGGAAGGAATTTAGAAATCACAGAACATACTCATCAAAAAGAAGGTGAGCAGCAAAGGCACTGGTTTTTGCATTGTCCCTTCTCCTCCATGCAGGTATGTCAACAAATGCGTGTTTTACACAGTGCAGATCTGATCTGGAATGGGATGCAACTGATGCTGTTGCCTTCTAATTCTGATCCTGTGCACTTGCAATAGCCAGCCCAACACATGGGGATGGAGGCCTAACCTTGACCAGTGCTGTTTAAAAGATACCAAAATGCTTTTCTCTGAGCAGTATTCATTTCTTGAGCAAGACTCCTGACTTCTGTACGCTCTAAAACATAGTTATACTGAACGAGCAGGTTGGGAGGTCTTTTCCCTCTGTGGTGTAGATTAACCAGCAGCCCTACCAACTGTGTGCCCAAAGGAGATTGTCATGAATGACATAACTTTGTGACAAGGCTTTGGTGGTCTACTCTGTTGAGCAGAACTGAACTCTTCTTCCGCCAGGCCTACTGGATATGAACCAGAAAACACTTTCACCAAAGATGACCCTGGAAAAAGCATTCTTCCTTTATCCGGTCAAGAGAAAAACTAGGAAACCAATAAAATTTTTGGAATGAACCATCAGTAGGACACTTTCCAAAGGCCAAATGTGCACAGATGTTACACATCTGCACAACCCAGTCAGCCAGCCCTTCCAGCAATATCTACTTGTTGATAAAATACTACAATTACAAAACCAGCTTAAATGATGGAGTTTGTTCTCTTTGATCAGGCTTCACTGCTTTGTTCTAGCTAGTTGTTCAGAAATCTTCCACATATATGGACATTTCTGTGGGATTATTTTCTACTTCACTGAAAGACTCCATTTGCAAACTGCCAGGACATCTTTTCTTTTCTTTATACTGCATTATTCCCAAAGCAGGCAGTGATCTGAGTGAACAGAAAAGCAATATCATTTTTTTTCTGGGAGGAGACCAAAGAACTAGTGGCTAGACAAGCAGAACTGAAACTAGCATCATCACTGGACACCATATCAGAACGGCAGTGATTCATGTCTCCACGCTCTAATTTAGGCCCCCATCTCAGATGAAAACAGCAATGCCATTTTGCAACAGAATCTCATGGAGGGATGTCCTCCACCACCTCTCCATCTCGCAAGCACCCAACCAGTGCCACAGGACTGCAGATGCAGGATGAAGATGGTGGGTGGCAAGGCCAAACCTGGCAGTTTGCTGGAACGGGGCTTCATTTCATTCTTTCCACCTTAGGGCATGCAGCCTGAGCTTTTGGAACCCACAGAAGTCTTGTCATAGGGAGATCACTCCTTAATCACTCACGAAAGAAGTATAACATTTTTATGCCCAAGCTTGGAAGCAGTATTTTGTACACGTGTAGGAGTTTCTAGAGGAATTCACTGTGATGGAATACCTCAGGCACCGTGGAAAGTTCTGGTTTACTCTAGTACACAAAAACTAAGCACATACATTTGTTAAGTTCAGATGCTGGGGTAGAGACCTGATGAACTGTCTGAATGACAGTGTATGAAAAATGTCAGTGTTCAAAGGGTAGGATCTACCTGAAAAACAAGTTAAAAGAGGCAGCATCAAGAGTTTCATCCCATGATAGAGGAGTTATGTGCTGGCAAGTGGCCCATACGGGTCTTTGGCTGGGTTTCTGATAAGGCAGCAGGGAGGAGAATGGGGGGAGACTTGTACTGGTATTCCAGAAGTACAACAACTGGCTGGAAAGGAGCTGCACAGATCGGACCAGCAACTCCTCACTCTGTCATGATGCCTGAAGCCAAGGCTGCCTGAAAGGGGGAAACTATGGCCTCACTTCAGAACAAACAAAGAAGTGGAAAGGCCTGGGGCTGGGTCATGCCTCCAGAAAAGGACAACAACATATTTTTAAGCTAAATAAAAAAGAAAAAGAAAAAGGAACAAGGAAAAGGCAATCCACCCACTGAGCCATCCTCGCACACACCAGCAGCAGCATGGACACGGGGCAAACCAGGCTGATTCTGGTGTTGCTGCTTGCTTACAAACTGCAGCTTCCCCACATATGGGGTCACTGAGGTAAGGGACAGGTTGACAGATTAGATTCTTTCAGCAAAGTCTCCAACCATGCAAAACTTTGTTCCCTCCTGGTTCTTGACATGAGCATAAACCTCAGAGATCTGGAAAGACTGAATGAAACCCTACTGATACTGGGGGATGCACAACTGAAAATCTCAAGTATCTTTTGGTGTTCAGGTTAAACAGTCTGGAGGAGGACTTGCTGCAGAACTGAGGTGAGATGGTCTTCAGTTCCAAGAATTTAAGGCATTCTTAGAGGGAGGAGGAGGTTCCTTGGGTGTCACAGAGGATGTTTTTCCTTAATTCCATAATAATAATAATGCTGTGAAGGATCCTGAAAGAAACAAGCTGAACTGCAACAGGTCCTAGACCCGAGTGTTAGGAGCAGATTACACTCAAACCGATGTTGCCACATTTGGATGCATGACTGAATGGGACAGAGATAAAAGGAGCGAGGCTACAGCTGTCCTCACAATCAGTGCTGTGCCCAATGATGACCAGATGTGAGACAGAGGAAAAACTACGCAACAGACCCTTCCCAACACTGGGGTGTGAGCAAACAAGGTGCCCTCTTCACCCACTGCAACGCACAGTTTCAGCCAACCCAGAGGCAGCATTCACCAAGTTCCTCTTCCTTCTCCTTTTCATCCACTGGAGGCCCCTCAGAAGCCTTCTCCTTCTCTCAGTTTCTGAGTTGCTGACCTAACACCTAACAGTTTCCTTTTTTGGGGGGTGATGTTGCGTTTTGTTTGTTGGTTTTTTTTTTTGTTTTGTTTTTTTTTTTTGTTTTGGTTTTTTTTATTTGTTTGTCTGTTTTTTGGTGGTGGGGGGTGGGTTGTTTAGGTTTGGGGTTTTTTTTTCTTTTTTTTTTCCCCTAGTGAAAGAGAGCCCAAGCCTGCCCATGGGAAGAGGGGTAGGTACATTACAGAACCTTCTGTGATACCC